ACTGTGCCTCCTTGTCTAGAGAGTAATGGCTTAATGAAGAAGGTGTCCTGTGGTGCACAAAAGCTCAAGACTCTTTAACAAGCAGTGCCTGGTTCCCCTTTGTGTTTTGTGTCCCAGTTGCTGTTGGTGGGTTATTGGTGGGGCCACCTTTCTATCTGCTTGCAGTCATCTGCCTCAGTCCACTGTGGATGCCAGTTCACCTCAGCCAGCACTTTGTGAACCGAGCATCACTCGAGAACAAGAATGCATCCTGCTGGGATCTTTGTGGGTGGGGCCACCCTCTGCATGCCCTGCAGCGATGGCAGCAATTCTGGGTAGGGAAGTCCCACAGCTCTGGGCAGGTGCACATCATTGGGTTGTGTGGGCTGGAACGCTTTGGGCTGGCACCTCTAGGTGCCTCCTCAGTTGGGTTGACATATGGCCAAGAAAGGTAGAAAAGCTGGAAACTGCTGAGCCAGACATGCCAGCAGGTGTGCAGAGCAGTGCCTCAAGGCTGAGCTGCCATCAAGGAGGATGGAGCTTTTGCAGCCCCCACAAGTGCCCAACCTGTTTGGGCTGTGGGAAGTCTGGGGTAATGTCATCCACCTGCCCTTTCTCCTGCTGAGAGAGCTCCATTAACCCTCATGCCTCTGGCATCCTTCCTTCTGCTGGTAAATCTTTCAAACTGTGTCCTGTGTTTTGGGTGTCAGGTTGACCAACAGCATGCCTGTCCTCTATAGCAACAGGAGTCTTAGCCTCCCATAGTGCACCAACTCTCCCTGGTATCCAGCTCTACTAATCACCTGAACCTGATGCAGTGTAGACTGGTGTTCTTAGAGCAGATCTTCAGGCCAGTTGTGCAGAGTTTCTGAGTATTTATCCCCTCCCTGCTTAGTTTTTCTACCTCCTGTTTGTGAGTTGGGATGGGGAAAGTGTTGGGGTTCCAATTGATCATTGCTCTCCAGAATAGGAGAGAACCTTTCCTAACTCATTCTATGAGGCCAGTATTACCTTGCTACCAATGCCACATAAGGACATCACAAGATAAAAAAATTATAGACTAGTATTGCTTATCAATATGGATGCAGAAATACTCAGCACAATACTAAGAAGCTGGATCCAACAACATATTAAAAGGATTATACTCTATGACCCACTAAGATTATGCCAGGAATTCAAGGTTAATTGAAGATAAAACCAATCACTGTAATATAACAGATTAATAGAATTTTCCAGAAAACCTATAGGATCACCTCACTCAACACAGAAAACACTTTAGCAAAAACCCAACACCCTTTCATGATAAAGAAAAAAATTCCAGAAAACTAGGAAGAGAAGGGGACTTACTTAATGTGATAAAAGGCATTTGTGAAAACCCACAGCTAACATCATGCTCAATAATGAAAAACTGAAAGCTTTCCCCTTAGATCAGGAACACAACAGGGATACCTCCTTTACCACTGATACTTAACATTGCACTAGAAATTCTAGGCAGAGCAGTTAGACATAAATGAATGAATGAATGAATGAATAAAAGGAAAGAAAAGGCATCCAAACTGTTAAGGAAAAAGTCGGTCTATCTCTCTTTGCTGATCTCATGATCCTAAATATTCAAAGTCCTAGAGAATCCACAACAGAGTTACTAGAGCAAATAGACAAGTTCAGCAAAGTTACAGTGTCAACATCTAAGAATCATTTGTTTCTGTACACCAAAAATAAAGTCTGAAAAGGAAAGTAAAAGCAACTCCATTTAAAATAGCCTTTGAAAAATAAAATGCCCATGCATAAATTTAACCAAAGAGGTAAAAGACTTGAAAACTTTGCTGAAATAAATTAAATAGCTAAAAAAATGGAAGAGCATCCCATGTTCATGGATTGGTATATTTAATATTGTTAAGATGTCATTACTACCCAATGTAATCTACAAATTCAGTGTAGATTGAATCTATTAGAATTCAAACAGCTCTTCTTTGGAAGAAATTCGAAATCTAAAATTCGAGTGAAATTCATGGGGTCCCATAATAGCCAAAAAAAAAATTGTAAAACATGAATAAAATTGGAGGCCTCACACTTCCTGATTTCAAAACTTAAGACAAAGCTGACAATGATCAAAACAGTGTGGCATTGGCATAAAGGTAAACCTATAAGCCAATAGAGTACAATTAAGGGTCCAGAAAAAAAGCCATATATCTATGGGAAAATAATTTTAGGCAAGGGTGATAAATCAAAGCTATGATAACAGCTTTGGGAAATAAGTCTTTTGAACAAATGGTGTTCTCGGGTTTCCATATGCAAAAAAATTAACTTGAACCCATATTCTCATATCCTATATAAAAGTTAATTCAAAATCAACTTCAATGTCCTGAATAGAAGAGCTAAAAGCATGAAAATCTTAAAAGAAAATATAAGGATAAATCTTAATGACTTTGGATTTGACAATAGATTCTTATATATGACAGCAAAAACATGAGCAACAAAGGAAAAATTAGATAAATGTGGCTTAATCAAAATTAAAAGCTTTTTTTCTTTAGAAGAAATTATGAAGAAAGTGAAAAGACAGTCCCACAGAATAAAAGAAAATAATTGGAAATTGTATACTGGAAAAGGGTTTAATATCCAGAATATATAAAGAACTACAACTCAATAACAAAAGGACAAAGAACCTAATTTTAAAATGGCCAAACAACTTAAACAGATACTTCTCCAAAGAGGATATACAAATGAGCAATAAGGACTTGAAAAGATGCTCTATATCACTAGTTACTAGGGAAATGCAAGTCAAACCCACATTGAGTTACCAGTTTACACCCATTAGGGTGGCCATTAAAACAAATAAAAATAATAACAAGTGTTGATGAGGATGTGAATAAATTGGAACCCTCATATATTGCTGCTGGGATATAAAATGGTATGACCACTAAGGAAAAACTGTCTGGCATAAAAAAGCTAAACATAAAATTACTAAATGACTGAGCAATTATACTTCCTAAGTATATACATAAAAGAATTGAAAAGAGTCTCAGACATTTGTATACCAATGTGTATTGCAACCTTATTCACAATAGGCAAAAAATGGGAACAAACTGCCCATTAATAGATGAATGGATAAACAGTATGTATTTATATACAATGGGATATTAGTCATAACAAGGAGTGAAGTTCAGATACATGCTATAATGTGGATGAAGCTTGAAAACACTATGGCTGAGTGAAATTAGCCATTCACAAAAGGACAAATTGTGTGATTTACACTTACATGAGGTTTCTAGAGTAATGAAATTCATAAAAACAAAATCTCTTAGGAGTTGGCAGGGTGGGGGGGGACATAGGGAGTTACTCAGTAGTCTTTTAGCTCTAATGTCTTCACTGATATCCCAACAGTTTCAACTTCTAATTTAAGAACATTAATAATTGCCAGTGAAAATGTTTTTTAAATGCCTACTTTAAACAATATAATTTTTCATTTTAGTAACATCTCATGCTGTTCTTTTACTAGTTATATTACTGTGGTTCTATTTAGTATGTCACCTATATACCTTATATAATGTGAACTAAGTTAAACTTCATTAGTGTTTCATCATTCAGTCATGACACTTTAAGTCTAGAGGATAATTCTCATTCAGAACACTAGCTCCATTAACAAGATAAATGGTAATATTAAAGAATTTAAATACAGTTTTCAATAAAAATCATTTGGCTGAATTAAGTCAATTTTTAATGGAAACCAGGATGTCATTTATTAATTTATATTTGAGACAGGAGATATCCCAAAGTATCTAGAATATGTAAGTGCTTTATTTATGATACTCTCTTTTCTGATATTGGGGATACTTACAAAGTCAAATAAATAATCAGAAAGTTGTTTCTTAAACACTAAAATTAAACACTGAATTAGAGCAAAGGTTAAGTAGGTAATCTTGCATTTTAAGAGCCTAACCACCTGTGTGATAGAGGCATGATAGCAGCCACAAATGCAAGTTATCTATATGTAATTTAAAAATTTTAGTAGACACATTTTAAAAATAAAAAGCAGATGAAGGTCTAATTTTAATAATATTCCGTATTTAACCCAGTATATCCACCATGTTGTTTTAACAAGTAATAAGTATTTTAAAAATTAATCTTTTTTCATACTAAGTATTTGAAATCTGTTATATATTTTAAACTTAATGTATATCTCAATTAGCTAATTTACTTACTAACTCCTTCAATTACTTGGGAAAATTTCTGAATCTCACTGTGTCTCATCTTGCCCACTTTTAAAATGGAGACAGTTGCAAGAATTAAATTAGGTAATATGTGACATGCCTGGCAAGTGATAAGAATTACATGAATTTCAGCTACTTTCTAAAAAATAGTATTTCAAATAGGTGAACATGACTTATAATGACATCACTGCCTGAAGCAAAGATCATAGAGATTAAATTTATAACCCTCAAACATTCTTTTCCCTTGGATAGTGCTTTGTACACACATCTCTCAGATTCCTTGTTTAAATTATTTTTAAAAATAAGCAAAATCTATTGGTTCACAAGTTGTGACTAATGTACTATGCTAATGCAAGTTGTTAATAACAGAAAACTGGTGGGGGAATCTAAGAAATAAATCTCTTCACTTTCTGCTCAATTTTTGTGTAACTGAAAACTGTAAAAAGTGAAGTCTACTAATTAAAAACAAAAACAAGAAAACACCATGTCTGCTATTGGTTCTTGATGCATCTTAGTTGTTATAGAAATTCATCAGAAAAATGGCAGTTTCTGTATCATTAAAACCATCAATAAGAGAAGTTAACTTATGGTTAAAAATCTAATAATGTCTCCTCTTTCAGTAGTTATTCATTCTCTGCCTCCTTAACTAATATATGGAAAAATGTAAGCACAAATAGTTGTTTCCCTTCCATGGTTATTGGAGTGGGCAATGGGCAATTATTGGTGGCAGTCTAATGCTAATGGCAGAAATAATCCATATTTTTTTAATACACTTTTGTTGGTTTTGAGAATATTTTCTTCTCCTGATTTCAGGTTGGGTGGTACTATATCAGCATACAAGATAGTACCAGACGAAATAGAAGAAATCAAGGTATAGTATGGCGTTTTTCACCTCTACAAAGACTTAGTATCTTGGTGGGATGATGGGGAAAGAATTTTTTCTTTATACTGTTGAATCTTTGGGTGTGTTAAGACATCCATTAATTCCCAGTTATCCTACTTCAATTTAGTAAAACATATGTTAGATAATCACCAATAGATTTCATCTACCGTTATCAATGTGTTTCTAAGAAAAATACTATAAGAATCAAAAAGGAATCCTTTCCTGTGTGATTCATTGCAAATTTACTTTAAAATAGCACTGTATATAATCATTAATGTACATAATAGATTATCTTTTTATCTTGTTTTAATTTCTTCCCTATAAACTTTCACCACTTACAAATAATAGCAGTCCCTTAGTAATTCCTGGTTCCTTTGAAAACACAGTATGCCCATTTTATTTTAAAATTTGTAGTATGATAAATGAAAAATTGACCTTACTCTTTGAAAATTACAGCATTTCTATATTCTTCTGTCTGTAATATTTTATTAAATCCTATGGACTATTAGTCTTCTAGCATAACATGTGGCCCTTGTCCAAAAGCAATTTACAGTCTAATGAGAACTGAATTTACTATATATTCCATAAATAAAGTTTAACAATTGGATAACAATAGCCAAGCATAACAGTACTGAGTTGTTGTTAATAATGACATGTAAAGATCTCAACAAATCATTAAGGTAGATGTAATCAAACTTTTCAAAATCAAGTTCAATAAATTCAAATCTAGGTAAAAATTATGTATATTTGTTTATATTTTTTCTAAATCATTTGAGCTCATGGATCTTTCTTATGTAATATACCATAATACATCAAGCATTCTGTGTAATCACCAGGAATTAATACAATAATTATATTCTAGAATTTAAAAAAACAGAAGTGTCAAGATACTCATTCCAATTTGATATAAATTCGTAAGATAATTTGGCTGGGAGGAACCTTAGGTCTAACCCAGATTCCCCTTTTTTCATGGAATCATAGAACATGGAAATTAATAAAGGTGAACTAGTTGAAATTAATTGTTTGAGGTCATTAATTACTTCTAAAAATATAATCAAGTGTTAAAAGATTCAGAATGACATGAGTATATTACTTCTTGAAATATATTTCATAATGACAAAAAAAGTCAAACTTTAGAAACTTTAATCAATTAATGTATATATAAATAAGCTGCATTTATATAAACGATATAGATTTAAAATCCATCTATCCTAAAGGTTCTCTGTCTTATGTTACAATTACAATATGTGTTACATAATAAAGGAAAGTATTCTATGAAATACAACGGAAGAGCACTTGACCACTTGAAAAAGATAATCAGCAAAGTCTTTTGAAGAGTCAGACTCAGCAAACTGGCATTCTACGCAGAGGCAGAGGCACTTGTGAAAGCACAAATATGAAATAATACAGCACCAGATCACAGTGTAAAATTAAGACTATTAAGAAATAGGACTGCAGTGGGCCTTTATACTGTGTTAAGAAATTTGGATTTTATACTGAAAATTATGGGGTGCCATTTGTGTGTGATTTTAAGGAACAACATATGCAGCTTGGTAATTTTTTCAAGTTTTTCTGGGATAAGTGAGAAAAACGATTTCAGTGAAGGAGAAGAGGTCCCGTCTGTAAGGAAGGAGATCAGATTGCAGGAATATTGGCCTGAAATGATTAAAACCTGAAGTAAAGCAGTGGTAGTGAGGCTGAAGGAAAAAAGTCAGATTCAAAATTTAAGAAAATACTATTTAAAAAAATAGAGCCAACAATACAATGATTTATCTGATGTTTAGGGAAAGGTAGAAAGGTTTACTCCGGTTTCTGGCTTTGGAAACTGAGTAGATTGTGTTGCTGCTAAGTTAAACAGATAATAGAGAAGCAATATGTTTGCAAGCAAAGGATAAGTTTTGGATGTATTGAATTTGAGGTCCCTCTCAGGTAGCTAAATATCTACTAAGTCATTAGATAAATCATTCTGAAACTCAGAAGATAATTCTTTCAATTGATAATGGAATTTATCATTATGCAAGAGTTACTTGAGGCCATGCTACTGAATAGAATTGCCTAAAAAAACTATATTTGGTAATAACAGTGGACCAAAACTGTTGCCCTGGGCAAGACCCACCCTGGAACCAGAGGATTAGTATATTCTTTTATTAGTTTAATTAGTAACTGTGTCTATTTTTTAATAGTGACTTTTGGCTAACCGAGTAGTTTTTCATTATTTTTTTGAAATACTAGAGTTGAATTATCCCTCAGGAGATTCTTTGAAAATAAACATGATTCATGGATGACATGTAATATATTTTTTTCCCATCAATTACTGGTAGTATATCTTTAGAGAGTTTGAAGCCTGACTGATACTTGCTTTCACAAGTGTTGGAAGAAAAATTACTGTAAAATATTCATCAACATTGTTGGCACCATTAGCATTTTCAGCTGAAATCAGATATAATCTTTTTGTTTTGATTGGAGGAAATGTGAAACATCTAGCTGTAATATTCATTTCAGTTGGTTAATAACAATAATTTTAGATTATATAGTACAATTTAGTTTAAATTTGAAATATACTGTCTGCAGTGTACCATGTATAAATATTCATGTGCATTTTTACTCTTACAAACATATGACTGATTGATGAAACATAATTCAGTCTTTGTCAGATGTGCTAATCTTTCATAATGTTTCTAGCACCAGATATCATTATTTAGTTCATACATAGTTTGAATTAAACATACATTTATTGATTACAGTAAATCACCTCATAGTGAGCAGACACTTGGCCAAAGGCTTAAGGGCTGAAGAGCAAATACATTCCTGTTGCAGTCACAGCTATCTCTTCAACCCAGTATCCTGACTTTTTATCATTTGTTCCCTGCCTTTATTTAATTTTACCACCTATGTACACATACCTAATATTACAATTTCTTTGTGTTTTTCTCTGGACTTTATATGTATTGAATCACACACTTATGCACTCTTTTGTGCTTTGCTTCTTTTTTCAACATTATAAAATTTCTTCATATTGTTGTCTATAGGTAAGATTTTAGGGGGAGTTTCTGCTTTTGTTTTTTCCTGTAAAATATTCCATTATGCCACAAATTATTGAGAAATCCTACTGTGGATGGACATTCAGCTTGTTTCCATTTGAAGCTATTATGAAAAATGATGCTATAAAATTCTTATAAAAGCATCTAATGTAGGAGTTTCTTAGAGGTATAAACTGAAGAGTGGAATACCTGGGTTTTAAGTAATCTATGTTTTCTAGATGAAGTATTCTCCACATGTTTTCAAAGGTAGTTATGCCAGTTTATACTACCACCTTGGACATGTTTATTTTAAATAGAGATATTTAAATATTAACTCTTAATCTATATAATTTATGTTGGTATAAATTTACTTTTATTTATATATGGGATGACTAAATTTACATAGTATTTTCCAAATGTGTCTTTATTTTCCCAAATTAATTGAAAATCCCCTATTTTCCCCCACTGGTTAGAATGTCCTCGTTTGTCACATACTAAATTTTAATATGCCACACACACACACACACACATATTAGTCTGTCTTTTCCTGAGCTTTTGTTTCATTGATCAATTTTTTTATTCCTTTGCTAGCACCATACTATTTTATAGTGCTTTCTTAGCATAGTAAGAAACGTCGTGTGTTGTTTTCCTTTTTCATTCTGTTGGCTTATAATAGTATTTGGAGCAATTAAAACATAAATTTGTCAGGTTTCATAAGTATTTCTACTGAGGAGACTTCTGCTTCCCGTCAAAATGGAGTAGCCCTATTCTTCCCAAATCTTTTTTCTTACAACTAAAAATCCCTAGATGTTACAAAATAAACAAACATAGAAAGACTGAAAGGAAGAAAAAATCAGACTGCAACAAGGGCCTAAAGACTGAGAAATGACATGGCAGTAAGTCACCGGGTTTCTTTTTGTCTGCCATTTAATCTGGGCAGCACTGATGCAGCCTCTAATCTGGAACCACTAACAGATACAGACAAAAAAGCACCTAGAAAAGCCTATTCCCTCTGGCCAAAGGAACTGGACAAAGGTGGACTAACAAAAGAGAAAGCCTTTTTGGCGATACTTGCCCTACTCTGGCCAGATGCCAATGGGAAAACTACCTAGCTCTCCCACAGTTTCAGCAGAGTTAAGCAGGGAGCTGATCTTCTACCTCACTCCTTGCCACTCCACAGAAGCAGGAGGTGGAGCTTTGGATCTCTTTCTGGTGGTGGTAGCACGGCTGAGCAGGGAGCTATTCGTCCATCTCCCATGGGGCAGAGTAAGTAGGCAGTACTCTGATTTCCCTGCCAAGATATTATAGGTGCAAACAAGTACAGAATTGATCTTCCATCACAAGCTGAGAGAAACGCTGTGCTCAGATTCCTCCAGTGTCAGAGGGGGTCCATTGAAGAGCTGAACCTTTCCCTGAGTAAGACTAAAGGTGCAGTGCAAAGTGGGTCTAGTCACACTGTACTTCACCTTCCCTTTCCTGTGTCAATGAGACCAACAAGGGAAATGAGCCTCCATGCCTACCTGAGTGAGATGGGATAGTTGGACTCTACTCACTGTACAAGTCAACTGTCTGCTTACCCTCTCATTGCCAAGGCCTAGCAGGTTGATAACATCTATCCCTACTATCAACAGTGTTGAGCAAAGTGATGGCACACTTTTGCCAGAAAGGTTTCAGCAGGGCCAAGAGAGGAACTAAACTTCTGCTCTGTTGTCTTCAATGAGGCAGTGTGAATCAGTATTTTACATTTGCCCGAGTGGTATCAGTGGGACCCAGCAAGAAGCTGAATATATGTATCAGTTTGAATGAGAAAAAATGGTAAATAACAACATGAAGATGAATCAGTTGTTGGAATTATCTGGCAAGGATTTTAAAGCAGCTATCATAAAAATACTTCAACAAAAAATTACTAATGCCCTTGAAACAAATGAAAAAAATACAAAAAGGAAACAAATGGAAATCATAGAACTG